TCGACTTTACATAGAAACTGGACACTTTGACGCTTCGGTGTGAACGAACCTTTTTCACTATTTTCTCACTTGTTCTGACGTTTTTTCCTCATCACAAACAGACCCGGAGTTGTGTTTTGTCTCATTCACACATGTTTAACACTGAAAACGATCTGTTCCACCTTGTGATGTCATGCGGTAATACACGGGGTCATTTTCGCTGACAAAAATTTCCAGTCTTTTCCGTGACTTTTTTCAAGACCTAAAGTGAATTTTCCACGACTTCACGGCTCCTACGTGTGTAAAATTGATCAGGTAAAAGGAGCTGTTCACTTGATGTGGACCAGGAGTCGACAAACTTAAATAGTCAAAGAGCCACAGAAAAGAAAAACACCCGGAGCCACAAAACCTTTTAGACTCTAAAATGAGGAGAACACGGCATTTCTTTTTTTATGCTCTGTATAAAAACTACGGTGTGTTGAAATTTTCAAATCAATGAAATGTTACAGAGAACAACAGAATTTCATTTTTTTATGTAATAAAAATATTTTGAACTCCAAACAAAAGACACTTGGTTGCAGTGTCGGGGAGTAACAGATTACATGTACCAGAGTAATCAGAGTACAATGATGAGTAACTGTATTCAGTTACAGTTACTGTTTCAGTGAGTGGGAATTGGATTACAGTTACTTTGTTGGAATAAATGGACACAGAGGGATTTTACTGTTTTCACATTTTGTTTTTTTTTTTTGTTTTTGTTTTTTTGCGGTAATTCTACTCATTGCTAAACCAGGAAAAACCAGGTCTAAACTAGATCTAAACCAGGACTAAACCAGGTCTAAACTAGATCTAAACCAGGACTAAACCAGGTCTAACAGATCTAAACTAGGACTAAACCAGGTCTAAACTAACTAAAACCAGGATCTAAACCAGGACTCTAAACCAGGTCTAAACTAAACCAGACTAAACTAGATCTAAACCAGGACTAAACCAGGTTTAAACTAGATCTAAACTAGGTCTAAACTAGATCGAAACCAGGACTAAACCAGGTCTAAACTAGATCTAAACCAGGACTAAACCAGGTCTAAACCAGATCTAAACCAGATCTAAACCAGGTCTAAACCAGGTTTAAACTAGATCTAAACCAGGACTAAACCAGGTTTAAACTAGATCTAAACCAGGACTAAACCAGGTCTAAACTAGATCTAAACCAGGACTAAACCAGGTCTAAACAGATTAAACCAGGATCTAAACCAGGTTAAACTAGATCTAAACCAGGACTAAACCAGGTCTAAACTAGATCTAAACCAGGACTAAACCAGGTCTAAACTAGATCTAAACTAGGACTAAACCAGGTCTAAACTAGATCTAAACCAGGACTCAACCAGGTCTAAACTAGATCTAAACTAGATCTAAACCAGGACTAAACCAGGTTTAAACTAGATCTAAACCAGGACTAAACCAGGTCTAAACTAGATCTAAACCAGGACTAAACCAGGTCTAAACTAGATCTAAACCAGGACTAAACCAGGTTTAAACTAGATCTAAACCAGGACTAAACCAGGTTTAAACTAGATCTAAACCAGATCTAAACCAGGACTAAACCAGGTCTAAACTAGATCTAAACCAGGACTAAACCAGGTCTAAACTAGATCTAAACCAGGACTAAACCAGGTCTAAACTAGATCTAAACCAGGACTAAACCAGGTCTAAACTAGATCTAAACCAGACTAAACCAGGTCTAAACTAGATCTAAACCAGGACTAAACCAGGTCTAAACTAGATCTAAACCAGGACTAAACCAGGTTTAAACTAGATCTAAACCAGGACTAAACCAGGTCTAAACTAGATCTAAACCAGGACTAAAACCAGGTCTAAACTAGATTTAAACTAGATCTAAACCAGGACTAAACCAGGTCTAAACTAGATCTAAAAGATCTAAACCAGGACTAAACCAGGTCTAAACTAGATCTAAACCAGGACTAAACCAGGTTCTAAACTAGATCTAAACCAGGACTAAAACCAGGTCTAAACCAGGACTAAACCAGGTCTAAACTAGATCTAAACCAGGACTAAACCAGGTCTAAACTAGATCTAAACCAGGACTAAACCAGGTCTAAACTAGATCTAAACTAGATCTAAACCAGGTCTAAAACAGGATTTAACAGGACTAAATCCTGCTGTGTGGACGTGTTTCTTCTTCTTCTATCAATAATATTTTTAATTTGGTTCAGTAAAGTCTGGACTTTTTATTTTCTTTTATCAGACAAAACTTCTTATGTGAAGATTTCCTCGTCTTTGCTTCTCTACAGCAAATCAAGTAATCCAAAGTAATCAGATTACATTACTCACTCAGTATCTACAGATTTAGAATTACATTTAAAAACGAACAAACTAAATTAAAAATACATTGTAATAATAAAGAGTCACTCAAACATGTGCGAATGAAACAAAACACAACTCCAGGTCTGTTTTTGAGGAGGTAAGAACATTCTAACATGACTTAAAGCTCACGAGGGAATTTTGTGTAATACAGGACCATTAAACGGTGAGATTAAATGACTGAAATGGAGTTTTATGTGTTGTTGACATTTCCCACCACTTCCGATTTTTTTGTACTTTTGTCTTTTTAATTTTTTCCACAAACGACCACTAAACTGATGTTATAAATACTGACCGCGGGTACAATCCCACCGAACCAAACCTGAAAACCCGGCACATGCATTTTAAAGTCTGTACTAGAGCCCGACCGATATGGATTTTGATGTGGCCGATACGATACCGATATAATGGGAGTTGGAGCTGCCGATATATTTAGTGATGTAAAAATTCACTGTAAATCTTGAATTATTAAAAAAAACTTAGGTTTGTCTCTGGTGGATTTTAAACTGGGTTTATTTAGGCAACATTTATTGTTATTCTGCCTCTTTACATGATATGTCATAGGACTAAAGCAGGTCTAAATAGAACTGAACCAGACTGAAAAAGGACTAAATCAGAACTAAACCAGAAACTGAAAAGGACTGAAAAAGATTTAAACCAGGACTAAAACTTAAACCATGTGTAAAACAGGAACTGAACCAGGACTGAGTGTCGGACTCGGTCTCTATCTCTCTTCCTCTCTCGACCTCAAGATTAGTCCTGGTTTATTTATTTTATGCTGAATATATTTATGCACGTTTTTTCTATCCTATGCACACGCAGATTTTTTAAAGTTTCGTTTTCAGCCGCTGCCGCACGAGTCTGTACGAGACGTGAAGAGAAAAAAGTGAGAGAAAGAGAAAACACGGCTCCCGATAAGGATCAGGCTCCCGTCGTTCGCTTCAAAGAGCCGAATCTAAGAGCCGCTTCGTTCACGACCGACCATCACTACTAGCGAGTAAATAAACTACAACTATTAGTCTTTAGCCGTAAATGCTGCGTCGCGGTAATTAATTATATGCACAAGTATCATAATTCACACGTCTGTTCACAGCTCATTTACATCAGTGCAGGTCCAGTAACAAATATACGACCAATATAATCACTTTACAATAGACCAATAGAAAAACAGATAATCACAAACCAATCAGAACGAACCAAAACTAGCTTCAAAGTCGACATATTTCCAACACTCAGCCTCACACAGGCTCCTCCCACATCACAAGTCTGAACTAATAAATGTCCTTTTAATCCAGACTCAAACCGATTGTCCGTAAAAAGAAAATAATCTCAGTGTTTGGATCTGAGTCTGAGTGTAAACAAACACACGTGAGTCTGTGGTGTGTTCAGGGACAGTACGACACACACACTGACAAATGACTCCACAGATAAATACTGATGTGGAGACACATATTGGGTCATTTATTTGTCTGTAAATTGGATGAAATCAAGGGTGTCCAAACTTTTTTCATCAGGGGCCACATATCTAAACACAGACGAATCGACAGCCGTAGACTGATGTTCAGTACAGGGAATATTTGAAATATGTGCATGTTTAACACGTTAGAATGAGCCATCAGTCTTTGTTCATGCTGAGATCCCTAAAACCACACACTAAATATGAAATATTAGCTTTATCAAGGTAGATTTAAAAAAAAAAAAAAAAAAAAACTTGCAGTAAAAAAATATTTTTGAATTGATGCAAGGTAATTTGGGCCAATTCACCTGGAAGTCTGAGGGCCAAGAAAAATTTGTCTGAGGGCCGCATTTGGCCCCGGGGCCATAGTTTGGACATGCCTGGTTTAAATGAACATAATGTAGAGAGTCTAAGATTTATAACGAGGTATCACATGCCCACGGGAAATATCGGCCCATATCAGCAAACATATCGGCCGATAGACGATATGCTTCCAGGTGCTCATATCAGCCGATAATATCGACCAACCGATATATCGGTCGGGCTCTAGCCTGTACCTCGCAGATGCAGCCTTGAGGTCGGTGAAGTGCGTGTGCAGGATTCGTATGGAGTCGTAGCAGACCACGTTGACCACGTCGATATGGGCCAGTCGGCTGCGGAGCTGCGCCATCATCTGCCACCAGTCGTCCGACAGCATGGAGTAGAGCTGCCCCTCGTCCTGGCTCAGCGGCACGTACCACGACAGGATGTAGTCTCTGTACGCCAAGTCAAACACTGAAACGACAGCAAAGAATCAGGCAAAGTCAAAAACAGTTGACACATTTACATGAGCGCTTTCATTTTAAAGCCAAATTTATTTATTCCTCCATCACGTTTCACATTTATTCTTCTTAAAACATAATTCCGGTCGTTCGGCGGACGCTCGTCGGCTCCTCTGACATGATCCAGACAATCAGGCTCCACCATCCACGTGTCATTCATTTGTTTGTTTTTAAAAATAAAACCAAAAAAAACTATTTTCTTCATTATTTGTCTCCAAAACCAAAATGAAAAAACAGATAACGATTCATTTTTTGTTTTTTTCAGTTTTTTTTAAATGAAAAGTGGAAAAAAATATAACGACTGTTTCCCGTTTACGTCACTTAAAATGTGATGACGGACGGTTTTCAGCTCTGGTCTGGCCCCGCGCTCAATCTCGGTCTGGTCCCGGTCTGTTCCCGGTCCCAGTCCCGGTCCCGGTCCCAGTCCCGGTCTCAGTCCCAGTCCCGGTCCCAGTCCTGGTCCCAGTCCTGGTCTCGGTCCTGTTCTGGTCCCGGTCTAAGTCATGGTCTCAGTCCCGGCCTGGTTTAGATCTGGTTTAGACCTGGTTTTAGACCTGGTTTTAGTCCTGGTTTAGACCTGGTTTAGACCTGGTTTAGACCTGGTTTAGACCTGGTTTAGATCTAGTTTAGACCTGGTTTTAGTCCTGGTTTTAGACCTGGTTTTAGTCCTGGTTAGATTAGTTTACCTGGTTTTAGTCCTGGTTTAGACCTGTTTAGACCTAGTTTAGACCTGGTTTTACTTCTGGTTTAGTCCTGGTTTAGATCTAGTTTAGACCTGGTTTTAGTCCTGGTTTAGACCTGATTTAGACCTAGTTTAGACCTGGTTTTAATTCTGGTTTAGTCCTGGTTTAGATCTAGAATAGACCTGGGTTCAGTCCTGAATTAGTCCTGGTTTAGACTTGGTTAAAAACAAAAAAAAAAAAGGGGGAAAAAAGGAAAAAAAAGGGATATAGTCCAAAATGTGAAAACAGTAAAATCCCTCTGTGTAATCCATTTATTTCAACAAAGTAACTGTAATCCAATTCCCACTCACTGAAACAGTAACTGTAACTGAATACAGTTACTCATCATTTGTACTCTGATTACTCCGGTACATGTAATCTGTTACTTGGTTGGTGTAGAGCGCACGCGAGCACTGCATGTCGTCTTTAACGCGCTTAACGATACGGTTTTCTCGCGATTTACACTGACGGAGAGAGACGGAGAGAGACGGAGAGAGACGAGAGAGACGGAGAGAGACGGAGAGAGATGAGACGAGAGAGATGGAGAGAGACGGAGAGAGAAAGAGAGAGATGGAGAGAGATGGAGAGAGACGGAGAGAGATGGAGAGAGAGAGAGAGAAAGACGGAGAGAGACGGAGAGAGATGGAGAGAGAGGGAGAGAGACGGAGAGAGATGGAGAGAGATGGAGAGAGATGGAGAGAGACGGAGAGAGATGAGAGAGATGGAGAGAGATGGAGAGAGACGGAGAGAGAGAGAGACGGAGAGAGACGAGATGGAGAGAGATGGAGAGAGATGGAGGGAGATGAGAGAGAGATGGAGAGAGATGGAGAGAGATGGAGAGAGAGGAGAGAGACGGAGAGGAGAGAGATGGAGAGAGACGGAGAGAGATGGAGAGAGACGGAGAGAGATGGAGAGAGACGGAGAGAGACGGAGAGAGATGGAGAGAGATGGAGAGAGACGGAGAGAGACGGAGAGAGACGGAGAGAGATGGAGAGAGATGGAGAGAGAGAGGAGACGGAGAGAGACGGAGAGAGATGGAGAGAGATGAGAGAGAGACGGAGAGAGATGGAGAGAGATGGAGAGAGATGGAGAGAGACGGAGAGAGATGGAGAGAGACGGAGAGAGATGGAGAGAGACGGAGAGAGACGGAGAGAGATGGAGAGAGATGGAGAGAGACGGAGAGAGACGGAGAGAGATGGAGAGAGATGAGAGAGATGAGAGAGACGAGAGATGGAGAGAGATGAGAGACGGAGAGAGACGGAGAGAGATGGAGAGAGATGGAGAGAGACGGAGAGAGATGGAGAGAGACGGAGAGAGATGGAGAGAATGACGGAGGGAAGAGAGAGGGGATGTGAAGGACAGTGACAGGAGGAGGAAGGATGGAGGGAGAGAAACACACTGGTGATGAATGGACAGAGTCAGAGGAGAAGAGGAAAGAGAGAAACAAATTAAACAAATTAAAAATATTATTGATAGAAGACGAGGAGACACGGTCCGCGCGGCATGGTCCTGTTAAATCCTGTTTGAGACCTGGTTTAGTCTTGGTTTAGATCTAGTTTAGACCTGGTTTAGACCTGGTTTAGACCTGGTTTAGACCTGGTTTAGACCTGGTTTTAGACCTGGTTTTAGTCCTGGTTTAGAGTTCTAGTTTAGACCTGGTTTTAGACCTGGTTTTAGTCCTGGTTTAAACCTGGTTTTAGACCTGGATTTAATCCTGGTTTAATACCTGGTTTAGTCCTGGTTTTAGTCCTGGTTTAGACCTGGTTTAGACCTGGTTTTAGACCTGGTTTTAGACCTGTTTTAGACCTGGTTTAATCCTGGTTTAATCCTGGTTTAATCCTGGTTTAGATCCAGTTTAGTCCTGGTTTAAACCTGGTTTAGACCTGGTTTGGTTTAACCTGGTTTAGACCTGGTTTAGGTCCTGGTTTAGATCCTGGTTTAGTCCTGGTTTAGTCCTGGTTTAGTCCTGGTTTAGACCTGGTTTAGGTTAGTCCTGGTTTAGTCCTGGTTTTTAGTCCTGGTTTAGACCTGGTTTAGACCTGGTTTTAGACCTGGTTTTAGACCTGGTTTAGTCTGGTTTCCTAGTTTGTTTAGACCTGGTTTAGACCTGGTTTAGATCTGGTTTAGACCTGGTTTAGAC